CCGCAGATCCTGTAACGACCTCAGATCCTGCAACGACCTCAGATCCTGCAATGATCTCAGATCCTGTCACGACCTCAGATCCTATGATGACCTCAGATACTGCAACATCCTCGGATCCGGCGACGACCTCAGATGCCGCAACAACCACAGATCCTGCAACAACCTCAGATCCTGCAACGACCTCAGATCCTGCAACGACCTCAGATCCTGTAACGACCTCAGATCCTGCAACAGCTTTAGACCTTTCGACAACCTCGGATCGCGTAACGACATCGGATCCTGCGACGACCTCGGATTCCGAAACAATCTCGGATCCTGCGACGACCCTAGATCCTGCAACATCCTCTATATAACGCCAACTATGATTCCTGTCATTATATACAGTCGGCAGAATGACACAGATCCTCAGATCCGATTTTACAAAATCATTTATCAAAAGGATAATGACCTCAATAAATGTTTCCTTTCTTATTTTCCGTCAGGATGACTTCACGATCGTTTTATTGTTGAATGTTTTTTTCCCAGTCTGTCTTAAAGCTAAAACACTCATCCACCCCTCTGATCTATTTACTTACCTTGTCTATCACTAAGGCTTACAAACTACGACTATGATCTTAAGGACAAAAATATGAGACTTGAATTCTAACAAGGGAAATGGGACTTGTTGCTACTGTAATCATGTGAATAAATGATTGCGCAAAATTCTGATGAATTCGCGAAAAAGGCCTATAAAGACAGGGAGTGAATATCAGTGTTTTAGTCGTGTGATTCGAGCTTGAAAAAAAAACGACTCAGGAAGAAGGCGGCTTTTCTATCACAAGAACACAGCAAACAGACGCCGTCGGAGTGAAGGCGTAGACGATGCGGCACAGCAGGCGCTAATGCTTGTCCATGTTCGATCAGCCTTTGCACGCTAATCCCCAGGGAATACGATGTCGTCGTCACGCAGTTGTCGTTGGTTGACCTCGTTCGATGAAAAACTGTTGGAGGAAAACAACAAACGCAGGCAGAGACGCTTAGGAAGTTCAATAGTGCAGTACTGTCCGAAGCAATGTTTCGAGGGAATCAGGTATTTCTTCCTCCAGTCAGGTCCGATGATCTGTCACGCTGCCCGCTGATGCTGACGATGGTTGGGCGTTTCACTCTGGTCGCTCACAAACCTCAGGAGAAGGGCGCGGTGGCTGACGTAGCTGGTGACCTCGTCTGCGTATGCCACAAACACGACCTGCCCACCCCCCAAACACATGCACCAAGACTTCACACAGAAAGGGGTTGGATATTGGCAGCGTGACTTAAATTTACTGAAAAATTTCAAAAGTACTACCAGCAGAGACGAGAGACACTGCGATAAGTCTTTCTGGTTTAGATGCATTCATCGGTCTTCGACAGATCGGGGGCTCTAATGAGGACTCTTTTTTTCATTGAAAATGCAAATCAGGCGACCGAGCATTGTGGCATAATCTGACGTAATGTCACCAGGAAACTGAAAGATTCTTAGGAGAAGGACTTGAAAATGTATCTCTTAATTGTAGGACGACATAAATGCGATCTCGTTACACCGTACGACTCAAATTTAGTGTTATCGGAGGCCGTCGCATAGCGAAGAATTGCTAGTGATTGGTAAGCAGACCGAAATATTGATTTTTTTTCCACACCTACTGGATGGATACTAGCGGACAGTTCGACTGTTGTTTCTGACGATGTCCAGCGTGTGCTCCACAGCAGGGTTAGAGCAGGGACGGTGACTTGTGTGTGAATTACTTTAAAGGGATAGTAGTCTTGCGCTGAATCCACCACACCTTCTCATCCTTCCCTCCTGGTCCCGCTGTTATAACAGAGTCGAGGAGACCGAAGACGGGAGAGGACGCACATGGCTGGCATGGCGTGAACGCGCACCTAGGCGTGTCATCACACCCCATGATCCACAGCCTACGTTAACAAGGGTTTTATGCAACAAAAGGAGTGGGGTTCAGCTCAGATCCCACGGAGTTGAAGTGCCATAGAGGCCACATCAAGAAGGAACCATTATAGCCTGACGTTCAGTACGCCAGTCAGCCACTCCACACAAACACACATCACTGGATCAGAAGAAGAAGAAGAAGAAGAAATCTCTGGAACAAGGGCTTTATTTGTCCGACGTTTCGGACTGGGCCAACTGCGAGGCCCCCAGTTATTCCGTTAGTTAGCAGCCTCCCAAGCCACGGCTTTTAGCGCACCGTGATAGCTTCAAGCGCGTCAGATTGTTTATAGTGAGGAAGGTGTGCTGACACGTCGTCGATCGTACTCTCTATTTCCATTCTCCGACCCGGTCCTAGCCGGTCAGTTTTCTGGAGCGGGGAATGGACGCGGTGGCTAACATATCTACCGACCTCGTCTGCGCATGCCACATACACGACCTGGCCGCCCAAAC